CTAGACAAGTTCTGATTCGTGACTTCTTCACTATTGTATTGTGCCATTTGAGCCCGTTTACTTCATCGCCGAAGTTATACTCTCGACATTTCGAGGTTGAAGCTACAATCATTTAAGTCAATATAAAACTTTTTTTTCTGTCATTAAAAATCAATATTATTCACAAAATCTGTCATTTTCTACTGACAAAAATGACTATCTTGGGGAAGAAACGAAGAAGATTTGCTCGGACGTTGAACTCCATCGTGGAATGCATTGCATGCATTCTCATCCTGGCCCGACTGAAGCCAGGTTTCGTCTAAAATTAAATTAGGCAGACAATAAAGGCTTGGACAGGAGCCAAGATTGCATACTAGGCTTGCCGTCATTAGTAGAATAGGCTAGAGAACTTCGGATCCCTCAAACTTCTTCTTTTTTAAAATTATAAAGCTCTTCTTCTGTCTTTGCATAGATAGACATGAGCAGGTATAGTTGAAAGAGAAGCATTTTTCGCTTGGCCTGTTTACTCATTCATTGTTATATTAGACCATTACTCAGTTGGCTACACCGAATGAGCTTACGACGAATTGAAGAGAAGAATTGACTATGCATTGTAATTAACTTCGCCATGTATTTCAAAAGGACCTTCTAATCAAGACTGGAGTGAATTATTATTTTCCTCTGCGTATCCGAGGGCAAATAAAATCATCGATTTGACGGTTTAGGGGGAAATACTTTACCATCTCAGCCAGAACATTGCTAATAGATAACACGAGTGAGTGTTGCGACCAACAAAGCTGGATTCTCAACTTTCGTTATGGTTACAAATGGTTTTTGCCATTGAATTTGATATGCTACTGAAATCTTGTAAGTATTCATTCGTTCGGGCGTTGGGATTTTTGTTCGGATGATACTTAGGCATATGTAAGAGTTTTTCGTATTACCGGTAAATCAGTAATATGAGATGTATTCACCTTATTTCTTTTAAGGTGATGAAGGACTTGTAGCAGAATTTTCCCACAATGATATGAATAGAGCTGACGTTTCACATAGCTTTGTTTTCACAAAAGTTGTTCTTATTCAGGATGGACTGAAGTTTCGACCTCGCAAAGCCCCCAGCGGGAGTCGAACTGTGACAGTGAGGCATGTGAGCTTGACACGTTAACCACTCGGCAACCTTGCCACCAGTGCCACGAAAATTGTATTGACAGTTCTTCATCACCTTAAATTAAATAGAGTGAATACATCTCATATAAATTATTTACTGCTAGTCTCGAAACTCTACTTATGTACGAATAATAAGGAATGTAATCGATTGTTAAAGCAAGAATACGTTTGCTTCATCGACAATTCCACCAAAGAATGTTATATTAAATAGGACCTGGCCTTCCTTGAAATTCATATCAACCCTGTGACTCAAGGGCACTGGTGGCAATGTGGCCGAGTGGTCAGTGTGTCAAGCTCACATGCTACACTGTCACGTTTCGACTCCTGCTGAGGGTGATGATAAGACCTGTGCAAGGTAGAAACTGCAGTCTATCCTGAATAAGAACAACTTTTTTGGAAAGGAAGGCTAGGTTAATTTCAATGGAAACGTCAGTTCTACTCATATCATCGTGGGAAAATTCTACTCCCTATCACCTTAAACGAAATAGGGTAAATAAATCTCATATAATTATGAGTTCACCGGCAAGTACAGCTCCAAAACAATACAAGTTAAGAAGGCCATGCTTGTCGTGTACTTCAATTGTGCTAGGATTTTTGCATCAGGAATACACGTCCTTTTTGGGTGTTGACGGACCGAGGTAAAGTGAATGCTTTTCGCTTTTTGTCTTAAAAATCTCCAGCTCATTTTCGTTGCTTCGTGGCCAGATTGGTAGAAGAGCGTAGCAATTGCTTTGCTGTCGACATTTTTTTAGAATAAAGAGGATCTCAAGAAAATAATGAAATTGAGAACGAAATAGAAACAAAATTTTTACATGCGATTATAAAATGAAAACGCTTATTTAATTGCATCCAGATCAACTTCATTCATCAGCAGTGACCAATTGAAAATATGCAACAAACACGGAGTGAGTGAATTTCGAAATACTCGCGCAAGTACTTGAGCCATTCTAAGTCATTTAGAACCTAGGCTAACCCAAATTTATATGCAAGTTCGCTATGTAATTTACACATCGTTTTGTGAATGAAGCTAATGCCGATAAGGGCAAGCAAACATTTGTGACTTTTCAATATATGTTCCAATTCATGTTCGATTCCGTTCTCAAGTTTATGTGAATTTGGATTTCGATTAATCTTTTGCTTACTAATTGTAAGACTCACTTCTATCTTCAGTGAAAGTGTGTGCGATGAATAGATTTGAAATTCGATCCCACAAGAAGACGGCGATGGAGTCCTTTTGGCCAGTCGTCGATTGATTTTATTGGAAAATCTTGCTGACGCTGTCTTTCGAGTTCGATGAAAATATTTCAAGTTTTTTGTTTATAAACAGAGTTTTTGTCTGTCAAATGACGGACATCATCAGAGCAGTGTATCCTTTTACAACTATATTTAAGCTAATGAGTCAGGAAAACTCACATCCTTATCCCTAAATGCGGTCTACATACTCTAGATTTATGAATTTTGTTTAGATACATGATAAGTTGGTCGTTTCACGTCACTCTAAAGTATGTGCACATCAGCACACATGCACACGCTTCTAGATTAACTTTTACACCTCAATAAAGTGTATATGCGTAAAGCATTCAGGGATAGGATGGTGAATTTTCTTTACTCGCGAGCTTGAAAATGGTTGTATGTTGATGTCCGTCATAGGATGGACGAAGGTTTAACATGTTTTCATCGAACTCGAGAGAGATTTCTTCGGAGACAGCGACAACAAGTATGTTACAATAAGGCCAAATGACGACTGACCAAATGGAATCCGCCATCGTCTTTTTATAAAATCGACTGTCAAAGCTGGTCATCCTACACATTTTTATTCGAAATGGAAGTAGCTCAGTCTCTCTCAAGTTCACTATCCCTTAGCCTTTTTCGGAGGCAATTCACAATTAAAGTATTTTCAATGTGACCCTTAGTTACCTAGGCCGATAACTACTCACATCGAAATAAGTGACCAGGTTAATAGCTCTCGCGACAATCCCTCCGTAAGTGTAATTTAAGAGAAGTCGTGCTTGCTAGTATCGCATTCCGTTGAGGATGCTGATGCGGCGAGGTAGAAGCCTCAGACTAGCGGGGTTGAAAGAATATTTTGTGGGGCGAAGGCAAGTGAAAATCCTCAGCATCCTTGCAAGGGATCTAGACTAAGTTTTTAATTAAGTTAAAATAAAAGGGAAATTCAACTATCACCTTACACGATCATAAATGACCCAGGCTTCTATTCAAGTATGAAGTAGCCAACTCAGCCATCTGGTAGTTGATAAGGATTGCAAAATTAGTTTACTTCTGGGTTGGGGTTCCTTTATGGAGTTTGCCTCATGCATCCGAAAGGAGTAGACGAGGAGACTCCGTACATTTGCATCCGTGGCTGCGCCAACTGCCGCAAAACTGCTCCCTAAAACAAAACAGTCCTCAGACAGCTCAGCGATATTTTGCACCTCACCCGGAAGACTACAGGTTTGGTTTGGAGCTTGGGACGTTCTACATCGATAAGTCATCCCAGACCGCATAAGAAGAAGGAATGATGGGTGAATTTTGCCAGTAGACCTTGATTTTTAATTCAATTCTACTCCCGCGTCGCCTCCCAAAGGGCTCAGCTGGACTACAGGTTCAACATTGCCTCATCGTCCCATTAGCACCCCTAACGGAACTCGAACCCGCCGGGTGCAGCGTGTACTCTCGACATGTAATTCTGGGCAGAGGTGAACTCTAATGAAACGTGAGGCCTGTTCATCACCTTATGCGAACTAAATGCCGTATTCAAGAGCCTGTCTTATCTGAATGTTATAATTCAATATCTCACCTTCTTGTAGGATTAAGATGAAGATATTTTGGCAAAAAATAAGCATTCCAGGAAAATAGGTGTACCTATTCACTAGTCTTATCGACGAGTTTAAATATCCATGTCATTAGAGTTTCTTCTGGCTGCTACTGTACCTGTAAGCCTGTCCATCGTGAGTGCCGGAAACTGACTAATTAAGTCTATTATGGCCTGTCCAGCCCATGCGTCGAAGCCACATTTACAGAAGCTGTTATCGTATCCACAGGTTTATTGCCTCCAAGCGCTTTTTCCACCCATGAACAGTCGTCTCCCTCCAGATGCCAACAGCTGCTGCCAACATGACTCGTGCTTTGGGGCTGCGTTTTTCATTAGGACGCCCAGACACCTGCATCTGTTCGTTAAGCCACCTCAAGTGGTTGCCACCCTCGAGCAGGGCTTACACCTTTCACATTCACCCACCCAGCCACACAACCGACCAGCTGGCCAGCCACCCAGTAGCCCAGCCAGACGGTCGGCCTAGTGGTTTTTCAATTAGACAGCCGGCCAGCCAGCTGGTCGGCTGGACGAGCACCCAGCTTTCTAGTTCTGCTGAATGGTCAGAGGGATCGGAGTTTTCGGCGGGGCAAGCGTAGTTCTGATCCACCTTCAACCCCAATGGCTTGTTTGCACCTTATGCCACTTTCCGACCATCCCTTCAACCATGCCTCCCTCTTGGCCGTCTCGCCTCCAACCGACTGAATTACGCTTCTTCCCAGCAGGCAGCAGTGTTTGCTGTGTCTTATTGTCAACCGGCACGGAAGGGAAAGGGCAGACAGAGGAGGCCTTGGCTGCATTATGTATTAGGCGACCGAAAATATTGCCAGACAAGGAACTCGGATGCGTTTACGGTGAGGGCAAAGTAGGACTCCATTTTGTGTGATTCACATTTCTGTCTCTTCCATCAGATTGCGCATCCCACGAATCGGAGCCCATTACATACTGTGTGCGTGTGTGTGAATTTGAATATTGAGATCCCCAAATGGAGTAATGAAGAGAGCAGGTAAAGTGGATTAGTCATTTGTTCAAGCAATCGGAAGGTATGACACAAGTATTTTTATACATCAAATTAGCATATAAATTTAATACTACTGATAATAATAAAATTAGTGTCTAAATATATTATAAGCACGTTCTCATTGAGCCTCATGATGACGCGGAAGAGCAGGAGATGTGTAATACGTGGTGAACTTGGTGCACTTGGAGCAATCCCAGATGTCAGAAGTGACAGGCCTTGTCGGAATCTGAAAAGTTTATTGTCCGAGGTGGGAAATTAATATGAGAACTATGCTAGAGGACGCCTAACCAATTTTAGACTTCTTCATTTACCCGCTTCAGGCTAGTTTGCCCAAAACTCGCTTGTTCTTTCGCGCTATCAGGCCCTTCAAGATTTTGTACAAAATAACCATTTGGGTAGTGAACTCATTTTCCACTCCTCAATTTCACCATAATTTACGCATACCTTAAGGGAATCCTTTAGTCTATTCTTAAATCTTTCTGTTGGATCTCTCATAAAGGCATATATGTGTCAGTAAACTATTCTCTGAACGTACTTGTTGAAGTAATTAGCTTATCTGAATGATTGCTCGAGGAAGTAAGGAATAGTGTTGAATTGGAGGTGATCCCTCATTTTGACTATATAATTCCGCCAAAGAAACCTTGTACTCGTAGTAAGGTTTTTAGATATTTATGTGGTAATAATATAATTGTTATGAAAGCCGAAAAAAGTGAAGCAGTGATAGTCATGGCTAGGTTAAGTTATGTAGAAAAAAATGCTAGTTCCTTTAAATAACACTGACAAATATATGCCTTTATTGAGAGATCCAACAGAAAAACTTAAAACTAGGCTAAAGAATGTCCTTAAGGCATGCGTAATTAATGGTCAAATGTATAAGTGGTAAATGAATTCACTACTCCAGAGAGATGCGAGGGCCCCCCGGCTTACTGTCTCCCTAAGGTTGACAAAGAGGGTGTACCTTTAAGATTGATTGTAAATAAAAAAGGAAGCATGATGCATAAAATCTCACATATTTTATGCATGCAACTGAGGAAATTGCCTATTTTTGGCTATATTCAGTTAAAAATTCTTATCATTTCATA